AAAATCCATTTATTTTTTTAGACTTTAAGATAGATTTTTTCATTCTTGTTTACATAGATTTTTGTTACTAGATCAGTATCACTCCTCCCTAAAACTCCCAGTCTTCGATGCTATCATACTTTGAACGTCAACCATTTATATTCCTACTTTTTTGTCAATTTATTAATATTCTTGAAGAATTCGTTCAAGCGACTACAATTCAGAATGGAAATTAAATTAGCTTACGTATCACATATGTATTTCATTCTCCAAAATTATTCGTGTTCCTTGAGAAAATAAACTCAGTTCAGTTTATGGTTGTCATTCCTCGGAAAAATATAATAGTCGCACCTCCTCGATATCTAATCAATACATTTACTAACTAATAATATTTACTTGAATGGCCCAAACTAAGAACTACAACATATTCAAATTAGCTAACTCGTGGTATAATAGATCATCCAACAATTACTGTTTTCTTTTGTCAAAAATAGTTACTGAAAATTACGCAGTCTTATATTAAATTACACTAAAAAGTGCTCAAGAAAACTAAACAACTACACCTATCGTTGCTTTTAATTCACAATGCAACTACTAACCTAGGATAAGTCGCGAATTTAGTCTAACGCATTTTGCATGACAGGTCGGCGACAATGTTTTTGTTCGATACATTGTTTCCAACAATGAATATGTTCGATATGGTGTTTACCCCTTCCGTAGCATACCTATTATTTACATAAATTGAGTCAATGGGGGAATCTCCTCCACTTATCAGTTGTGTTCTGACCGTCAACGTGAATATACCTAAGCGGAAAAATGAAAAGTGTTTAAGTGAATAAAAAAGTGAAGTGGAAAAACCTCCCATGGAAGGCCAGCTACCTGGGAGGCACACACAAGAGGAGGATTCGTCGTGTAGCTCATCAGACGACGATAGTTACGCAAGCAGCAGCGAGCGGTTGAACGAAAACCGCAAGAGGAGGAATGTTACCTGCGGATGTGAGGAGGCCAACAACTTCCAAATATTCAGGTTAGTCAACACGGTAAAGAACCTAAATGGGACCATCGACATGCTCGAGGACAAGGTGGTGTCCCTGACGGAAAGCAATGCGCGCTTAATGGCGCAGTTGGAAGCGGCGAATCTGAGGGCGGCTGTATATGCAGCTTGTGACTTGGACTCGTCGATGGAGGTGGAAGTGTCGGACGGTCCTTCAACATCTGCGGCGGCGAAGACGGTTGCTAAGGTCCCGTCTATATCGACTGCAGCGAAGGCCGGAGCGAAGCCTGCTGCGAATGCTACTGGAGGGAAAGGACCGGGGAAGAAGGCGGCCCCGGCGAGTGGGACAATGGCTGGACTTGCATCTGGCCAGGCGAACGGCGGTAGAGTGGGCAGCTCGGCACTGCCGCCCATCACCACCTACGACGTTGGAGTGATGGAGATGACGGCGATGCTGCGGTCTACCATCGACTCCAGGGAGTTCACCCTTACGATTGTCCGTAAGGGAGTCATCTCCGTGAGGGTGCGGAATTTGGAGGCTTTCGACAAAGTGAAAGTCATGCTGGAGCAACGTGGGTATAAGCACCATACCCACACTACGAAGGACCGTCTGCCGTACAGCGTTATCCTCGATTAGAGCATTTGGGACCACCTTTAAGCGCATCTGCGCGGAGGAAGGAGAGGCCAAGGCTTGGTGGTCGCTGATTCTCCATGTGGCCCTAGCTTAAGTTTTCTCCCCATCAAAATTGTACATATCATAGTTTTAAGGTAGTTCTATGGTATTTCTAAGCTAGGTTAAGTCTTTCATCGCCCTTTTTTAATAAATCTATTTTTCGGGGCATAGTTTTAAAGATGATTTTTATGTATATTTAAGTAAGGAAGTTGTGTACACAGCACGCTGTTGCACTATTATGTTAAGATTTAAAGTAGGCTACTACACATTAAACATGTTTATTTATAGATTAATATAAGGTTTAGCTATTTATCCTAACATGTAAGTGATGTATATGATTAAATAAAATGGCATAACCAAAAAGACAAAGTGAAATCTTCTCTACATTTCTTCTAGGAGTCAACTACTGCTCGGATGTTACGCTCTCTCCTAGAAGGCACTTTTACTAAGTTCGTATGCATAGGGGACTTTCCAGATCTACAGCCGTCGATGTTGATCACGACTTTATTTACGCTACTTCACTTGTTATCTCGCTTTTGATAATCACACGCGTATTAATTTAAAATCACCCACTTTACAAATAAAGCATTGAAAATATGTTCTTACACAAAACTCTTTTTTTACGCCCATGTGCTGCATTTCGAGTTTGCTCGAATGTGAAACATTTTCCCAAATTTGGTGTGCTCCATTCCGAATTCCCAAAAAATATTGGGAATATAATTCGAGCACATATAGCCTTGTGGATTGAAAACGAAATGAGATCGTACGTGTTTTTCTGAGCACGTACCCATTAAAAAAGAACTCTGAAGTAATATTTAACGTGTTTTTACAATATTTATTTAAAAAATACAATACTTACATTAGTTTTATAGTAAAATTAAAGAAAATAAAAAAGGGCTCATTTTATCAAAAACAGCGCGTAACATTTTTGAGATCAATTTGGCAACTCAACCACCATATGATCAAAATAAAAATAGAATCTATAAAAAATCTACTTTTAAGATTTCCAATAGTCCTTTTAATAATGTTTCTTGCAGATGTGTGCCCTTTATTATATCGATGTTGACAAGATCCATGCTCCACTTGTTTATAGGGCGTCATCAAAAATGTTTCTAAGGCGTAACCACTGTCTCCTAGAAGCCAACTATTTTGCATACCATTTCCTCTTCTGCCTACCTGCACTCGTATGCCAAATAAAAGCATCATGCCTGGATCCTGGTCTGCAGCTGTCCACAGCTTGCACACACTTTGTCAGCTTGCACACACTTTTGTCTTCCAGGATTTTCATTACTCTCCACAATATTTTACACATTGTTCTGCGATCAACACCTATGTTTAAATCATTTGCCACTACCCTCTGAAACCCACCAACAGCCAGAAATCTTAAGGTAGCTGCTAACTGCAGGCTTTCGGGAATGGTACCCTTGTGTATAAAAGGACCAACTTCTCTCAAAATATCCATAAATGCTTATTTTAACACGTTCCAGTATCATTAGAGTTTTTCTGGTAGAAACCAGGACAATTAATAAGCCAGCAGCCATATTTTTTTTCTTAATTTTGTTGTTAAACAAATTGCAAATTCCAATGAAACATATTTTTTTTATTAAACACATTTCGTAACATATTGAACACAGCTATGTTTTCGAGCCGCACTTTCGCTCGAAATTGAGCACACCATTTTTCACAACATGGGGATTTAAAAAAGTATGGGAATTCAAAAACTCTCGGAACATGTCACATGGGCGTTAATTTTGTTTTTTGTTTTGTATTCCCTCTCGTCGGTATCACGCTAACACACCACATGTAGTGTGTTTGTGTGATACCGGTCATAAAATGCAAGATAGAAAATATTTTTTTTATTTTTTCTTCAGTTTTGTAATATTATAAATCAGAATAAAGTTATTTGGGCACATCAAGTCGAGAGAGAAGAAAAATCTTAAAATCACAACAATGATCTTCCGCCAACAGACAAAACATCAACAAATAGAGACCCTTTAACACAATCAAAAAAAACACATCTCATGTACGTTTAAATTTGAAAGATTGTTACTTTTATTAGTTTAATGAATTGATTGTAATTATAATTGAATTAGATTTATGTTATTCCATATTCAAAAGTTCTTGGTAAATTGATGATTAAATAATAGAAATTGTAATTCAATTGAATGCTTTTAATCATACATTCGTCCACTTTTTTTATAAATTCTAGTTTTGTATTATTATAATTGGTAATATTTATAATCCACTTTTCTTGTAATCTTTTAAATAGTTTTATATCGTAATTTCTATGCTAGCTCATCAATTAAACTAATTAAATTTTGTCTTGTTAATTATAATATTTTTTAATATAACGATAGCTTTCAAATGATAAAACCAAAGAAACTCAAAGGGAATAAGATAAAATGAAAATGTTGAATTGCAATCAACGCAATAACAAATTACAGCTAAGTATAAAATAAAATACTTATTGTATGCATATTTTAGAAACTAAAGAAACTTATAACTTACTTTTTCAACGAAGTTAATTTTACTAAAAAGAAATTTACTAAAATATTATTTTGAAGTTCAAACATAAATATATCTTCGTGAAATTCTATTTATTAAATTACAAGTATTGCACTTACATTAGGACAAAAATATAAATGTTGTTTCATAGTAAATTCAGCGTCCATCGACCACATACCGACAACATCCTGTCTCACGCTTTCTTCTCATGTGTTGTTTTAAAACGAAAATGAAGAGTAGTGACATGTTGGAAATATGTTGGCACATCATCAGTAGCAACATATGCAAGGTTTCGTCAAAGCTTATTGTGCGGTTGGTACACACGGTGATTAATATAGTTCGTAAATATACAAAGTTTCGAATATGATGGAATGTCTCTTTATACATATAGGTCGAATGCCAGATGTATTCAAAAGAACTTTTTAAAATAATTTTGAAAGTAGTAGGAAATTTCGTAAGTATGTATATTATTGGGAATCTAATGGCAGAAACTACTAACGATATAATATTCCTTACCAACACATCCGAATTTTATTCAACACATATTTTTCATCATTTTAACTGTCGAAAATGTATGCAACCATCAGGTGACTATGTAAAAAAAGAAATTAACTCTTTATATTTATGGTGGATGTTTGCTAATTTATAATTAATACATGAAGTTGTATAATATTCTACTAGCCATATACAATCAGAACTCAACTAACATACACATACTACGATAAAACAACCACGGCATCCATCGGACAGATACGCAATATCGTACATTAGATCTAAATATAATTTATCCCACATTCAAATCCGGCGAATGATTAAAAAAAATACTTATGCTGCACACACAATATATGTTTAGACTTCTACCGTAAAAGGATCTCGCGAATGGTGTATTTTTAAATGTTTGTTGTGATTTGTTTTTGTCGTGGAACTTTTGCCACAAATTGTACATTGGAATGGCCTTTCTCCAGTGTGTATTCGTCTGTGTTCTATTAGGTAGTAGTGACGATGGAAAGATTTCTTGCACAAATCACAGGTGTACTTTTTATTCCCATGGTGTTCTCGCCTGTGACGCATATAATTGTACTTGCGTATAAATTTGCACCCGCAAACTTCACAGGTATATGGTTTGATCTGTTTGTGTGAGTTCATGTGGTTTTTGAAGTCAACTTCGCGCACAAATGCTTTGGGGCAGTGTTCACACTTAAACGGTTTGGCGGTACGATTAGCGTGCACCCACGAATGAATTTTTAAATTCCATTTGGTGGAAAATGATTTATTGCAAATCGCACAATCATATTGGGTCTCAGTTGAATGGGTAGCCATGTGAGCCTTCATGGATGCTTTGGCGAAAATTTGTTTACAAATGGGACATTCCATGGGCTCAGTGTAATCGAATTTATCTGAATGTGCGAGACGAATATGACGTCTGAGCGAATTCACGTGTACAAAACGGTCGCAGCAATGGGGACAACATTTCGGTTTCGAATCGTGTGTTTCCTTGTGCCACAAGAATCGAGCTTTTGAGGGTAAAACCTCACCACAGTAACATACGTATTCCTTTCGACGTACTACCTGTTTTGTGTGCCGTTTACGATGCTGAGTAAGATTAGAGTACCGTTTGAAGTGTTTACCTGTAAATAATAGAAACAAATCAAAAAACCAGAATAAAATTCAAATATACGATATAATTTGTAGTAATGTTTTAAACATACATACATACATATATCCCGTAAGAACTTGCTACTTTTTACTACGTTGACAAATGAAAAATAGTAAAAACTAGTAGATTCTTGCAGTACGGGCACATCCCAATTATTATTTATTTTATGATCACAATTTAGATTTAATTTCACAAAGTTGTTCTATAATGAAGAAATATATATAATACGTCAGAATTGACCACAGATGCGAGTGGGTTAGCACCAGTGTTGCCAAAACTTTGTTGATAAAAAATGCTAGATTTTGTTTGTTTAATAGTGGTCCCCTTAATTTGATATTTTGTATTCTCATTAGGTAAAATGTCCCTACCAATAACACTGTGCTACAAAATAACAAACATTTTTTTTTCAGGGGTTCTAATGTACCAATTCTGTTTATTTGGAGTCTCTGGACCACGAAAATACCTTTGGTTTTTCTGGGTCACTTTGAAAATTTATTTTATAACGGTAAATATAGAGAAAAACGTGGTTTCATGGATTTTCAATTTAAAACTCGAATAACTTATTTACTTTTTAACAGATTTATATTGTTCTTTTTTTTCTTTCGAAGAGTACAATTTTTCCTTTCAAACAAGATATATACTTGGTAAATCGGTTGAGGATTGGCTGAGTTGCAGCGGTTGAAATGTGAAAAAATACGTATAAAATGACAAAATTTACTTTTCTTCGGGCTGTACGATGAAATTATGGCATCAAGCCATATAAGTATTATTGTATTTCGGGGAAGAAAATTAAATTAGCTTTCGAAGATGATAAAAATCAGAAAAATCGGTTAAAAAATGGATGACTTATACACATTTTTGTATTGAATCTATGCATATTCTCTAAAGGAAATATGGGTCTGTATCGTTTCCTGTTACAAACCGTTATGTTTGCAACAGGCAAAGGGAAACGAGATAGACCCATAGTTCCTTTAGAGAATATGCATAGAATCAATACAAAAATGTGTATAAGTCATACATTTTTTAACCGATTTTTTTGATTTTTATCATTTTCGAAAGCTAATTTAATTTTCTTCCCCGTAATAGAATAAAACTTATATGGCTTGATATCATAATTTCATCGTACAGCCCGAAGAAAGGTAAATTTTGTCATTTTATACGTATTTTTTCACATTTCAACCGCTGTAACTCAGCCAATCCTCAACCGATTTACAAAGTATATATCTTGTTTGAAAGGAAAAATTGTACTCTTCGAAAGAAAAAAAGAATAATATAAATCTGTTAAAAAGTAAACAAGTTATTCGAGTTTTAAATTGAAAATCCATGAAACCACGTTTTTCTCTATATTTACCGTTATAAAATAAATTTTCGAAGTGACCCAGAAAAACCAAAGGTATTTTCGTGGTCCAGGGACTCCAACTAAACATATTTGGTACATTAGAACCATTGAAAAATTTTCGTGTCGCACAGTGTAATTATCGATGTGATAATTAGAGAACGGCATTTGGGGTCGTCGAGCAAGTTTTTCATTAAATTGACTATAATTTGACTTTTTATCAGTTTTTATGGGGTTTCGGAGAATGGCATATATGCAGAAAATTGTTAAGGCACATAGTACAGATATTAAAGTACTGCTCTACCTTCTTTATGTGGAAGGTTTTAGACGCATTATCTGTTTTCTCGTAGGGTAGGATATATTTATGCGGACAATTTTCTACATAGGTCTACGTTTGGACATATCCCCCATATAAAGGTTCTATCCTATTTGTGTCCTTTAAGAATTAGAAGCTTTTCCGACGAAGTGTAGGTCCATCTTTTGACATAACACCATTATAACGTGGGACGCGACCCATTTTCTGTACTCTGAAATTGCTATAATTTGGCATTCGGGATTCCCGATGAATAAATAACTCCTTTCTCCTCTCTGATTTAGGTACATGATTTTTACATTGCTCTTAATTTTCATTTTACCTAATAAACAACTTAATATCAGGCGATGCTATAGTAAGCATATGAAGTACCCGACCATTTTTTGAGACAAAATTAATACACATGGTTCAGGGTAAAAACACTTCTTACCGCCCGAACTTTAATACTTATTTACTAATGTACTGGCACTTTTTTACATTGGAAAATTAAAATCATAGCGTGAAACATAAGGACATTTTAATCCGTCAATGTGAAATCGAAATAATACCCAAAATTTCAACTAATTCCAGAAAAAAATAAAAGTGCTAAAAAAGGTGCTAGGTGCTAGGATCAATTTTTTTGGTGCTAAACGAGTTTCAAAAGTGCTAAATGTAGCACTAAAAGTGCTAAATTGCAACACTGGTTAGCACACATACTATACGCTAAGTTAGGTAATGTTGGCAACATAATAGACCGTGAGTATTCGACATCCCATTGCTTCGATCGATGCTTTCCAATAAAAACTTTCGAGCAGAAAACCCAAACTAGAATGCCAGTAAAGAAAGGATCAATGCCGGACTGGGCTGACTGTATAACACAATAAACCACTTTGATGTTATCCTTTCCACGACAGAGGGGTCTACCAACCCGAAACGACCCGAGTCTTACTCGGCCAACGACTGTCACCTCAACCCATTGTGTAAAAGCAATAGGGCTGCTACAACAACAACAACTTTGGTTTTATTCAAGTAGATTATATGAAATAATAAATGGGTGATTCCAACGGAACGGGTGTGACATTGTTACTGACTATTTTCATTATTTTGGGATATTTAATTTATAATATCAATTCACAAAGAGTGATTTAAATAGATATATTTAGTTGTTACAGACCAACATAAAAGGAAATTTAATAATATTTTAAGTAAAAAAGATATGGCTCGAATATCAACGTAACGGGTGTGACCTTAAGTTTTCATTAAATCTTGAACCGCAGCTTTGTGTATTGCATACTGCAAACTTTTTGTATGGTCCGTTAACAAAGTATATTTTTCGTGGATTGTGGATAGTATCCTGTTTATTATATACATTATTCTAAATCTTTTCCACTATTATTTTGTTTGATATAAATATATTAATTAGTAACGGGTGTGACATGCAAATGTAACGGGTGTGACACAGTCTCAATCTTCATGTGTTTACTTATTACACATGAAGATTGAGACTGTGTTAGAAGAAAAACGGAATAATGATAGAGAGCGTCACCCTTAGTTTTTCTCGTTGGGATCACCCTTAGTTTTTCTCGAATATAAAGAAGATATGTGGTTTTCTGGGTTTCTTTAACAAAAATATACGTAATTTTTGAAGCCGATAATTATATTTAAATAAAAATATTCAATGTGACCTTTTCATGAGAACGAGTTCGGAACGTGGGGGCATTTAATATGCGAGGAGGTATTCTATCCTCTGAAAACTCGATATGCGAAATTGTAGGTGCTTCGGTTGGATAATGAAGCAAGGACATTCAAAATACAGCACATTCGGGCGGTACCCTTAAATTGGGGCTATTCCAAAACATGAACCCATAACATTTTTATAGACAAATATATAATATTTGACCTGGAATATATTTAGCCAACAAATCTACCATGTTGTGAAAACAATTTGTTTTTATTTCTTACCGTTGTTACGCACACAATATCAAAAAAAGAAAATGGTGGTCCACATTACCCGAAGTTACTCTATTATTTCTTTCATCTTAAGGGATATGCAATCAGACGAAGTACATTTCAAGATATGGGCCTACTATCCCACACATCCTGAGGATGTACACATACATTATACTAATCCTTCAACAAAATTGTGATTTTGAACTTACCACAGATTTTACATTTTAATGGCGATAGACCAGAGTGCATTCGCATATGCTCGACCAAGGCGCTGCGCACCACGAACTTTTTATCACAAACAGTACAGCCGAATTCTTTCCATCCAAGGTGTCGTTTCAAGTGCAGTGAGAAGTTTTTCCATCTTTGGAATTTTTTTCCACAGGTAAAACACTCGGCTGGATGTTCAGTTAAATGAGCATCATATAACTTTACAGAGTTGAAATTTTCACGACAAACATAGCAAAAGAATATGGAGGATTTAATAAGAGTTTCATCAAACTCGGACATTCTTTGACTTTGCTTGAGAGTGGTCATGTTGTATGTAACCAACATTCGATAGAGTGTCGTTAATTTATTGGAGGGTGTTGTTACTGACAATGTTTGACAATGGTTTACTGGTACCAAAGACAAATTATTCTTATCGTCCTCAACATATTCAGTTTTTGCACTCAAATCAGCAGTGATATGTTCATAAGCACCAGCGTCGCGTTGGATATTTTCATTTTCGATTTTTATGATGCCTTGCTTAAAATCGCCATCTGAATTTATACCTGATGCTACTGCCATCACATTGGTTCCTCTACTTGTGGTAGCAATGGAAACAGGATCTGCCATAGGTACGGCTACTCCATTAGTTAAACACACAAGTCGTCTGTTTTGACGTACATAATTGTGAGCGTCCACTAAATGAGCATTTCGGTCTTTAAGTTTTGAATATTTGGCATTACAGTGGCCGCACTCATATATTTTAGTACGAATTCTCTGCTGTTGTTGTGATCCATTCGAAGAAGGTGTTGCTTCGAGTGCCTCAGCGGTCGATGGTCCAGCCAAGAGCGCTGAGGATGTACTGGGTAAAGGCTCTTGTGGAATATTATAATCCATGGGCTGCATTTCCACATGTCCTTCCATAAGTTGTTGCGAAGTGATGGTTGACGTTGGCTGTAATCGTCTTGAACCAGTTGTCAAAGTTTTTCCATCTTGAGAATTACGTTTTCTGCGTTTTCTCACTTTGGCTGATGTCGAGGGCATAACATCCATATTGCAATTATCATTGGAATTTTGAGAGAACATGGTTAATCCGCTACTCGCACAGTTCCCAGCCACGACTGCACTATCATCCGTAGGTAGACGGAAATCAAAACTAGAATTTAAATGAAATACGTAGATAGAAACATGTTACTAAGTATAATGCAAACCAAATGAAGGATTAAACACCTTTTTGTTCTGTCCGTTTGAGAAGTCGTGGAGGCGCTTAAATCTTGAACAGTAAAGTATTCTTCGTGGTTCCAGCCATTATCCTGTTGAAAAATTCCGGGAAAAGTGGTTTTAAAGAATCGTGCTGAAATGTCTCCGTAAATCTGTGGAAAACATGTTTAAAAAAATTTAAGTAAGATGAAATGTTTGGCTGAAATACTTTAAAAACTTACCGGTTGGCTCCAAGAATTATCAATGTCACAATTGCTTTCCTGCTCGGAAATCTCGCCTTTAGCGGGCATTTTTTCATCAGTACGTATATTTAGGGTGCCTGCAGTCGAGCAGATACCAGCCATGCTATTTTCCGTGAACGAGCAAGATGTTGACGATGATGGGGGAGGCGGAGGTGGTACAATTGCTTTTTCACTACCCGTAGAACTTCCTGCAACGGCCTCAGCAGTTCGTTCACGCTTACATTCGTCCAGGTCCAAGTATTTTCCAACTTCATTTGCATTTGTTGCTGCATTGCATTCAGCAACAGGTATATGTACATTTGGTTGGTTTGATGAGGGTCCTGCTTCTGCAGTCGTTTGGTAATTATGGTACCATTGACTTTGATTCGTTGTTGCAGCTGTCTGCTGTTGGTTGTAATCTGAATAATTTTTGCTGGAAGATGAATCATCTAATACCATTGATGAACTTGCCGTATGGTTGCTCCCAGTAGAGTTGTAGTACATTGCACACATTTGCTGTGTTGAATTCTTTACGTCCCCTGTTTGATCATTTGAAACGTGGCTGTTATTATTGTTGTTACAGAGATAGTTAAAAGGAAAATCTGGAAATATTTCAGAACAATCATTATTTTCGCTAGACGGGTGAGAGTGGTGAGAAGTAGACGTGGAAGTTTTATTATTTTCTTCGATTTTGCCAATAGTTTCGACGTGCGATGAGTGTGCCGGCTGAGTCACAGCTGCCGAATGCAAGTTTTTACCATCAGAATCAACATTTTTTGCAGCGTTCACCTCGTTTATCCTCTGATTCTTCGAAAAGAGCGAAGACGATGATGGAAATGTTTGCGTATTTGCAGTTGTCAGCGCCTTTTTGGATGTTGCAAAATCATAAAGAACTCGGGCGTCCTCGTTTACGTTATTTTCAACTTTCATATCGGTTATAGCTGTCGAAACACTCGTTTCTTGAATGCACGGCTTCTCCGGTTTGCACAACATAATTGGCTCTTTAGAAGTAAGTTGTTGTTCCAAAATACTGCTATAACCAGTTTGTTGTTGACACTGATTATATTCAAAAGCTATCGAAGCTATGGGTTCGTTCTTCACCTGAACTTCAGTCTCGCTGACGGATTTTTCTTGAGTACGCATCATTATTTTATTATATTCTTCTAGAGCTTTGGCAGAAGTCGATGGTTGTTGATCGTCCATGTTCGATTCAGCGGATGAGGGCTTTGAGGATTTTGGTTTAATGACAAGCTTTTTTGGCCCCTTGCGTCCCAATCCGTTTAGTCCTAATGAATTATTTTTATTCTGTCCACTTGTAGGTGCATTCCTCTGATGTTGAGATAAATCTTCCGCCTCGGTTATATTTGTATTACAATCTGAAATATTTTCATTAGATCTATTCGTGGTCTCTTGTGAATTGTGTTTCGTTTGCTGAGGATTTTGTAGACTAGTTGTTGCCATACGTATAACACTGGTAACTTGACTGGAGTTTTGTATTAATGATGATGATTTTAATTTATTATCTGGAACATTTTCTAAAACCTGAGGCTTCTTTTCATCCTTTTCCAGTACTGTTTGATCGTCTAAGCTTATATTATTGCATTTACTACTTGTACTACTACAGCTAGGATTATCAGTTAAATCTTCAGTCTCTTGTTTGTTGGCCTTCAATGGTGTAGGTGGTAGTGGGTGTTGTTCTACAGTATCAGCTGTCGTCGAGGCATATTCGTCCATCGGCTCCTCTTTTTCAATTTTCACTAACGGTATGGGTGCAATGGCTGTGAAAGTTCTGCGCTGTGCTGCGACCTTGCTTGAAGCGATAATATTACCAACCAAATCTAAATACTCATTCAAGTTTAGCTGAACGTCGCTCAAAACGGTAATAGTATTTTTTGATGATTTTTTGCGTGTGGTGTTACTATTTTGGTGTACTGCCGAATTACTTGATGTATTAGAACTAGAGGTTGCCGAAACCGAATGTGTTTCGGAATTAACTGGAGAATGTTGGGCACGCGACGCAGATGCTGAAGTTGATGGAATTGGCGGCGGTGCTTGTTCATTTATCTTTGTCTTCTCGGTGGTATTTTTGTTCGATTGTCCATTTTTTTCGTGTGAAATAAATTCCTCCTCGTCGCTGTCGCTCGAAATACTAACAAAATCTTCAACCTCATTATCCGATGACGTTGAGTTTTCGCTCTTCGATTTCCTACTTTCCGACTTATTATCAATTGAAATTTTATTAGAATTTATTGTTTGTAGGTTGTTGTCGTTCTTCGTCATTTGAGAAGACGTGACTTTTTTCTTCGGACACGCCTTTGTATTGACGTCTTCTTTCGATTCTTCTTGATTAACTTCATTATTATTACAGCTATTCGCATTATTTCCATTTACAGAACTCTCTGCTTTGTCATCATCTTCGTCGTCATCGGCATCGTCGTGAATGTGTAAAACACTAGGTGGAGATTGGTATATGCGTTCAATTACTGAAAACTCGCCGTTATCTTTTTCAACACATTCAACAATATGCTTTGGTGTTTCCTGGACAATAAAATCACCGTTATCCCTTTCTAGGTAATGGGCCACTGGAGATTCCGCATATCTTAATACAGATGATGACGTGGAAGGCGATGCAGCAGCTAATAATGCCGCGAATGGAGAATTTGTAGGACGACTTAATGTTGAAGCTGCAACAGCAGCCATTGATGCAGATGCTACCGATGGTGAGATGCCCACATGGGTCTGTACAGAATGAGCAATTTGTACAGACGAGGCAGTAGAAGTCATTGTAGAAGCTTTGACCGTTTTATTTTGTTTGTCGTTAGCCGTAGTAGAATTGTTATACTGATTTGGATTTTCTTCAGTTAAAATAATTTGTTCTTGGTTCTGATGTTGCTGATGCGAGGCTAAAAAATATTTTCCTTGTTGATGTTGCTGTTGGGCATTACTAGTTTGTCTTGATGTATTTTGAGACGATATAGCTGAAGATGTTGTCGGTGGAATGTCATTTGTTTTTGAAAACAAATGCTTTGTGGCCATTGGCGGAGGTGGAGGCGGTACGTTGCCATGCATTCTAATATGTTGTTGGTGTGAAGATGCCTGCTGCTGATGTAAATTATGCTGCTGATGCAGAATTGTATCCGTATATGCGGTAATAGACGTGTGTTGATGTTGTCCAGCAAACTGACCACTTAATTGGTGCTTATTCTGAGATCTGATTTGACTAATGGCTGTTCCATAGGCCGGTGGGGGTTTCTGATGATGGTGTTGCAATTGCGATGGTGGTTGATAGTTATTGAAAAGCTGGAAAAAAATTAAAATATATTTTAGAAGAAAAAAAGCAGAATGAAAAAGGAAATCTTACCTGCAGGGGTGGTGGAGGTGGTAGACCTGAGGCATAAATGACTTTCATATCTTGTTGATGCTGAGGTGGGGGCTGATGATGTGCAGCATAAATATGTGTTTGCCGAGCGTGGGAATTATGATGTTGTTGAGAATTCGTCAACTGCTGCGTCTGTATTGTTTGAAATCCTGATTGTATTGACTGGGATGACATTGTCTGAGGTATAGGTGGAGGCGGTGGTAAAATTGTGCGTGAAATATCTGCGTGTTGTCCATGGGGAGCTGGTGGAGGCGGCATTTGCTGATGTTGCTGACTCCCTGCAGAACGCTGTTGGTTTTGAAAACGATGATTCCCAAATATACCGAAATTTGGATCGGTGTTTGTTGTAATCTCATTCGAGTTTGTATATGACCGATGTGTTTGAACGTACACTTCATTAACACTTTCCTTTGCAATTTGTTCTTTACTCACGGCTGATAAATCTTCTAATTTCAAACCTGGTTTAGAAGGAGCCATGGAATCATTTCTACTATTTTCTGTGATGTGTGCATTCGAAAAATTTAAAACGTTGTTTGAATTCTGGCTTGTGCTGCTACTTTGGTTGGAAAGCGAACAAATGCTTGCGGAACTGCTTATACTTGCGTTGCAGCTGTTACTGGTGCTTATTATATTCGAATCATTAATTTTCTCAGTCGATGTTAAAGATTTATCTTCCTGTTCTGTTGGCACCTTCTTCGACTCAGCACTGCTACTTGTACCCTTCAACATGGATGCTAATGCTGCTGTACCTCCTCCTCCACCGCCAGATATGGTCATTTGTACTAATGCTCTTATCACCTGCTCCTTTGGATGTGTCTCTAAATGATCTGAGAGATTCATACCTGCATGCAGGTATAATGTGCATACTGGACACTGAACGTTCTCCCCCATTTTTAAATTGTGTGTGGTTTTCTTTGCTTACTTGAAGAATGTATTACTCTGGTCACACTGAGTATATCATTAGATACGATTGGCTACTGTCTATCATAACCACTCATGTTCAGTGACTAACATGATTTTTTGTTGAACACAAAATGTCTGTAAAATAAAAAATCCATTTATTGTTAAAAATATATGCAAAATTTATTGCTAAAGGATTGATGATATTGTTCAGAATATCTTTCTAGAATAGTCTTTAATTCTATATTTTGAAAATTTGTAGTTAGTCGCGAAGAGATGACTGGGACAGTACCAATCAGACCCTATCAATTTGGAAGAACGGAATTCACAAATGATTATAATTGGCATTGTAGACTCAGGATATCTTTTTAATCTTGCGAATCTACAACAACAACAAAATACATAGAAGTTTAGTTTACAACAAGATTCACATTTACTCTACAAAAAATTATTAAAAACTAAAATTATTAAAAACTAAAATTATTAAAAACTAAAATTATTAAAAACTGTTAGTTTCATGTCTTGCTAAGTTTCATGGCTTTGCTAAGTATAGTATTCTTAAAAGGGTGTGGAACAGCTGATTGTTGTGAGTTTTATTTTGCGTATATTTTAGAAAGTAGGAATAATGAAACTGAAAATAAAAGAGGGAGTGACGTTAAAGTCTAGATTTTGTTAGATTATTTGTAGGAGCATCTCCATTTTAAGGTATGTAATTGCTTACATCAATGCAGAGAATTGGAGGAAGACCCAAGACGAACATTACGTGCTTAAAACTTACATGTCCCATTTAGGAGATTTTGAAACCCACCTGATTTTAGTTTTTTACGTACCGAATCTAATGATCCCAGTCATGTTCAGATTCGCGCAACAAAACGGCGTATGTAGGTACTTTGAATGTAGGAAAATCTGCAAAATCATATTCTGACAATTTCGCGTATATAATGACATTTTCTTGGAATTGTTTTTACACACATACAATCCTTTATAAATATATTTGAGAAACCGCGAAACGTGAATATTATGCGTAGTTTATCCAAAATACAGTGAGTCACAGTCAAAAGTATGCACTTGGGTTTTTCATTATACGAAAATAGCCAATATTTATATAAATTCTTCTTAACCCTTTGTGGCCCAATGTTGCCCACAGGCAACAAAATGTTTTAGAGAAGAGGGTAAATTTGTGTACAGTACTAATTTGTGTATACAGTCCAAATTATTTAAATCGCTTCGTATTCAAATTGTACAAATTCTACCCTCAGAATTATTTTTGATTCTTGTAAAATTGAATATAGAGAATAATTTAAAATGATTTTTCTGACAATTTTGCATTTGGTTTTCTTGATATTGGACTTTATTTTTTCCGAAAGAATGTACTGTATCTCCCGAATGCAAGGATATATCGATGTCAAATTTTGTGCATATTCTATTTAGGATAGTTGCATTAAATCTGTGAACAGAAATTTGTTCTAAGTTTGCGGAAAAAAATTCGGGGCTCAAAGGGTTAAAAAATTATTGTTGCACAAAAACAATTTTAACATCACAGAAGTATAACCGGTTTTATTTAAAACCTAATAATGGTTAAAAGTCAATCTTCTCATGGAATATCAAGTTAAACATTGCATCAGACATTTTTACACTTTACGCGTGAGTTTGCATATTTGGATAGCCATCGTAAGAATTTGATACCATGGAAGGTCACACAACTATTGCCGAGAGAAATTTAGTTCTTCGCCATGCTAAATTAGGAACATTTCAACGGAAAATAGCGGAAATACTAAATAGGCACAAAACAGAGAATCGAATTTGCAACAAACCGAAAACCAGCAAGAAAAAAATATTCAATATATGAGACGAAAAGTGAGTAATTTTGGTTTTTCAGAGTTGCACCGAAAAACCCCCTAATAGGTAAATAAAATAGGTAAATTTGAAAACGAAAAGAAGGAATTTTTATGTTTGAAATCTGTTATTATTATTTATTTTTAAAGACAATTTACCCATCTTTCTAGCCCATTTTGTATTGGTACAAGAAAACAACATGGAAAAAGTACATAAATTAAATATTAACAATTAAATTAAAATCCCAATAGCGTTCTCTCTTAGGAACACTTATTATCAGTTAATAAAAACCTATAGAAGTATAGATATCTAAAAAAGAACAACATACAAAACATATTAACTTTTTATACATCACTTACCGTTAAGTAAATATTAAATATTATAATATTTATTAAAGTGATTAACTTTATAATAATGCTCTAATAGCTTTATTATAACTTTTAGTACTTAACGGAAATTTCTTTAACCCTTTGAGCCCCGAATTCTTAGAACAAATTTCTGTTCACAGATTTAATACAACTATCCTAAATAGGATATGCACAAAATTTGACATCGCTACATCCTTGCATTCGGGAGACACAGTACATTCTTTCGGGAAAATTAAAGCCTAATATCAAGAAAACCAAATGCAAAATCGACAGAAAAATCATTTTAAATTATTCTCTATATTCATTTTTACAAGAATCGAAAATAATTCTGATGGCAGAATTCATACAATTTGAACACGAAGCGATTTAAATAATTTGGACTGTATACTCAAATTAGTACTGTACACAAATTTACCCTCTTCTCTATATTGAAAAGCTCATAACTTTACCATGGTACAATTATAAAAGGTAACAGCAAATCCCAGCTGATTTGATTCCAACGTAATACTAGTGTCAATATGAAGTTGACAAATTATGTTTTTAAAAATCACCCAACGGGAAAATTGGGAACGCATACAATTTGAAATTGTTCTTCTTTAAATATGCTCCCGTATTTAATTTACTCAATCTGCCTGCTGGGAAAGTTTGAGGAACCTAATCTTTCTTCATTGAATAACTCGCAATTCCCTGCATTTTCATATGTGTTACACATATAAGTGGCAATAGCTCAATTATAGGAAGGATGTGGAAGCGACAGAAATATAAATTTGATAGATTTTCATTCATGTGTTTCAAATTTTATTTTGAGGATTCGAAAATATTTCATTTTCAAAATAAATATAATTTATTTGATTGTTTACATTTTTCTGTCAAATGATGTTGACACTAGTACAACTTACAAAAACAAATTTCCATGTGGTTGTTGTATCGTTTCTTGTACAACAACACTTGCTGTTACCTTCTATTATTATACCATGTAACTTTACCAAAATTTTGAATTTCTTTGATTTTTCTTTTGATATGTGTCGTCCATAATCAGGTCTTGGCATATAAAATCCAAATAATATATATCTACTAGATCCATATTAAATATAGATACATATTAAAGCTCTAAACCTTTTGTTGCCTGTGGGCAACAATGGGCCACTAAGGGTTAATGAAGGTAGCAAACATTCATAAAGACGTGCAACTCTGACATGAAACAATTGACTTACATAATAGCTTTGGCGTGGAAATGGTGAAAAAATTTAACGTGTTTACGTCGGATGGACCAAGTAAGGTATGACGCAGGGCGTATAAATCCGTTGACCCTAAGCACACAATTCCGACAGTAAAGCACGAAGGAGGCTCTGAAATGGTATAGGGCTGTATAAGCGCTGCCGGAGTAGTAAATTTCGTTTTTATTGAATAGAATTATGTATAAGATTTATTATTTAACACTAGAAAGCCGAAGTCGGTCATTTTGACCGCTTTCCAATTTCAAGTACAAAAGCAACTGTACATTTAATGACACTTTTTTTTAAATTTGGTGACTTTTTGTACCTCATAGAATTACGTTTATTATAAAAAATTCACCAAATTTTAAAAAAAGTGTCATTAAATGCACAGTTGCTTTTGTACTTGAAATTGGAAAGCGGTCAAAATTACCGCCTTCGGCGTTCTAGTGCTATACATTCTAAAAGATAATTTGAAATTTAGTGCTAAAAAATGGGATTGGAAACAACATTTAATTTTTTTCAAGATAAAACCCCAAACACAAGTCCCAAGGTTTATTCATAGCCGGCAAGCTCAGCTGAAGCTTTCATTGACTGTAAAAATCAATTGCTTGAGGAATAAATGAACAAAAATATATTTATTCGTACCAAAATATACATGCAAAATATAACGTTTTTGTGAAAAATATTTTGAGTTTATCCTGTTCTGGTTGGTATGTCGCGGTTAAAAAGTTGACAACAAGAGAAGTCTAAGGCATGAATTCACCACCCTGTAAGCTATGTTTATCATTGAGGGTCGTACCTAATTTCTTAAGTATGCGTACGATTTATTCACCTTAAAAAATAAATACATGTATTTCAATGAATGTTACCCAAATACGCATTGCGTATCAAAATATAAAGTTGAAAATGTTCAATATTGACAATGCGTATTTTGGATTTTTTGTTTTTTGAAAATAGAATTCCAGTCATTGAAAATTTAGTTTATCTATAAATGTAAACATTTTTCGGTTAATTAAGAAAATATTTTCATCCATTTTTCGCTATTTTCAATTGACACACAAGCAAATATGGTCCTTGCGTATTTGGGTAATACGGACGTTCAACAAACCCTATAAAGGTGAGAAGGTGGGTATTTTAGTACGCAACGCACTGAATTAGGTACGGGCCTACTAACTACTACTAACTACGTTACCTAAATTCCAACGAGGCGTATAGAAATATTCAACTTCCCCACTATGGTAAAATGTTTATAAAATGATTTGTTTCCCTTTTACTAAATTTACTATTAAAATAGTATTGGAACAAACCAATATTTTTGTTAAAGAAAACAGGAAAACCACATTTTGTGCTAAAAATGTTCAAATCACACATTTACAATCAGAGCTTAACTAGATTTACAACATTGTAATTATTTATTCAAAACCATGTTTGATATCGGGGTAATTTTTATACCCTTCACCACACTGTGGTACAGGGTATTATGTCTTTGTGCATATGTTTGTAACAGGCAAAAGGAAACGAGATAGACCCATGGTTCCTTTTGAGAATATGCATAGAATCACTTTCTAAGTCGATTTAAGCAT